TGTGTCAGTGGTCTTGTGCGCTCACCAGAGACAGAGCAAAGGAGACGGTGAACACACCCCCGGGGGGCATGGTCATGCCGCAGTCCCTTTTCCTCCATTTCTCCGTCATGCTGGGATTTGGGGCACACACGCGCACACACACACACACACACACACACACACACACACGTCTAGCATGTTTTTCAAGTGACTGGGCTGGGATTTGGATCTCGTTCTGGACTGCCATGTGGATCTCGTTCCTTTAACTCCCAGGCCCGGGGCCCCGCCCCATCGTGTTTTCTTCACAGTACCCACTGCTCTCGATTCTCGAGGTCAGCCATTGTTCACCCTGTACCTTGGGGTAAGCGCCCTGGAGCAGGCCCTTCCGTCTTGCTGGTTGCTGCAGTAGTCCGGCGTCTGGAGAAGGAATGCTGGAGAGTGATGGCAAATGTGGCACGGCTGTGTCTTCATGGAGCTTGTGGCCTGGTGGGATGTGGGGGTCGGCTTTGCTGGATTTTAGCTAAACATTGAGCGTGAGTCTGTTATTGAAGCTGCTCTCACTGTCCTCCTGGTTCTTCTCAGAAGCACTCAGATATGAACCGTGCTGGGCCTGCCATCGGTGCTGTAGGTACAGCACACTGCCCCCAGCCCTGGGTGGAGGACCGACTCAGCCCCTGCCTCTTCTTTCCCTCCAGCTGCCTTCCTCGGGGACATTGCCCTGGACGAGGAGGACCTGAGGGCCTTCCGGGTGCAGCAGGCTGCGGACCTCAGACAGCGCACAGCCCGAAGGTCCTCCATCAGAGCCACAGGCACGCCAGGTACAGACCGGCCCGCTGTGTCCCAGAAATGAGCTCCAGACCTGGGGAAACAAGGGACCTCCCTGTTCCCGCCAGGCCCTCCCAGGACAGAGTCCAAGAGCCTGAGCCCGGCACACTGGCCTGCCTTCCCTTGGGGTGTCCTGTCCTTTCCCCAGGGGAAGGAGAAGTACAGACATCCCCGTAAGCTGAGACCTAGTGTTCTTTCTGCTTACCACAAAGCACTCTCAAAGCATTGTCCGGTTTGACTGTCCCCAGCCACCATCCGGGTCGGTGTCGGGACACTCCTGACATACAGGCACAGAACAAAGACTCGCAGAGGCAATGTGACTTACCCAGGACCGCACAGCTGGTCCATGGTGGCGCTGGGGCGAACCCAAGCCTTCTCCCTGCAAATCTGAGACACTACCCAGTACTGTCGTCCCTCCTGCCGTTCCCCTGCTCCCACTTGGCAAGCTTCTACCTCCTCCATGGCCCACGTCAAGAGCTTCTCTTGTGAATCTGCTCGAACCACCCCCCAGACATGCCTGTGTACCTCCATTTTCCATGCCCCCCCACTCTGCTCTGTGAAAGCAGGGACTTCGCATCTCACTTATCAGCACGTACTGGCATGATCTGTTTCCACGCCTATCTCCCCAGCAGGACGCAAAGCTCTTCGAGGTCGGGTGTGGTCCAGGCACCTCACACCACGTGGCATCCCAAGGGGATGGGAGGAAGGAGGGCTGAGGCGGGGTCAGCTCTTCCGGCCTCTCTCTGCTCTGTACAGGTCACTGCCAGTGTGGCTGCTTGCGACACTGAGCACCCACGGGGAGCCAGGCGGTTGTCCTGTCCAGCCTGAGGGTGGACCAGTCTGTGAAGTGAGGTCAGACTCCTCCGTGGGCAGCTGGTATTGGAGGGTGACCTGGCAGCTGACTAATAGGCGAGACTTCCGTGACCCCAATGGGAGCTGGGGGGCGTGACACAGGAAAGCTCCTGGAGGGACTCCCCCCCACCCCCCCATGATCATGGGCAAACCTTTGGCCCTGGCTTCTTCATCTCTCAAACACAGAGAATGACACGTGCCTGCATCCCATAGAGCTTCTGTGCCGAAGGAGCGCAGGTCCGAGCACCTTAGAGAAGGCAGAGTTGTGCACTCCCCTCCCTGAACACCCAGGTTTGTGGGATGGAAGGAGTGCGCTCCTAGGCTCAGACGCCCCCTGGTTCTTGTGGTTCCTAGGACATGATTCATACCATTTCTCCTACATGTCAGCCAATTATTATGATTATTTTTACAGTCAGTTCTTGCTACTTATGGTAGTTAGGAACTGAGTTATCGAATACATTTGTAGTTATTAGAGAACTTTGTCATTACGCCATGTTGTTACGTGAACGAGAACGTCGTGACTATTCGACCACTGCTCCCAGGGTAACAGGTAACAGCTTCCCTAGAGCCTCTGGTCACAATATCTTTTTTTTTAATTGTTATTTAATTTTTTATTTATTCACTCATTTATTTTAATTTCACTGTGGGTGGGGCAAGAGTGAGAAAGCAAGTTGCCAGGTCTAGGACTTGAACCATAGTCAGCCATGTGGAGTCCAGCACCTCAACCACCATGCCACCTGCCCCTGGTCATTGGCGATTAATACATAACCTTGTCTTAGTTGTGTATGTGTGTGTGTGTTTTAGAGACATTTTTGCTATAGGGTGTGCATACTCGCCAGAGAGATAGGAAGCGAGAAATCACTCCCCAGTGGGTATGGCCATGCTGCAGTCCCATCTCCTCCATTCTCCCTTGAGGATTTTGAGCACACATGCACATGTGCTTGGCGTGTTTCAAGCTGCCCGGTTTGGGTCTCGAACAGCAGTCGGCCATATGGCAGTCCAGGACGCAACCATTACGCTATCTGCTGGTCCCTGTCTTGTGTGTGTTTCTGTCTGAAGACATTATCTGATATACAAAGGGGACTTCAAAAAGTTCATGGAAAGTGGATATTTTGAAAACACAATGGATTTCAAATATTTTTTGTACAAAGTAAACACATACTTTTGTTTTGTTTTGTTTTGTTCATGAGCTTTTTGAAGGCCCCTGGTAGAGTTGACTCAGTAACATCCAACCTGTAGCCAACAGCACTGTGGCTCCGCTACCCAGGAACTCTCCATGCCACACCACATGGGGGAGGGGCATTTTAAGCTATGAACTCACCCATAAAAAGCACAAAAATGCTAAAACCTTGGCACTAACCAGCATGCAAAAAGGACATTTGTTTGCAATCTGAGAGCTGACATAAGAATGCAGGGTGTCGCCTTGTTCGACCTCAGCTGGGCATGTGTTCGCTGGGTGACTGGGATTTGTCACCACTGCGCATGCCAGGAGCAACCATAAAAACCCTGAGTATTGCTTTTGGGGTTGCAAATACATTTTAGTGATTAGGCAAATTCACACAATTCCATGTACAGCAAGGCACAAAACGTTCACAGAAATTGCGTGTTCTGAAAAACTGTAAGGATTTCAATGTTTTACTTTTCCTCCAGATAAACTGTACTTCAGTCCCATTTTTCCAGAACCTTTCTAAGTCCCCTTGGGCGGTTTCCCTCTTCTCCATACACTCCATTGGTTTGCTACCAATGCCTTCCTCTTTCCATTGCAGGAAACTCCTCCACCCCTGGTTGCCAGGGCACCCGCGGGCAGCCTCGGAGGCAAACCTGCGGGAGATGGCGAGGCCGGTCTCGGAGCCGGAGGGCAGCGACATCCAGACCTGAGCGCGTCTGGCCAGACGGGGTCATCCCCTTCGTCATTGGGGGAAACTTCACTGGTGAGTGAGCTGTTGCCACAGCGCGCAGCCTGCATCCTGACCCTGGGCAACCCCGCTGGGCACCGAGGTACAGGTCCCACCGTCTGCCCTCCGTCTGCAAGTTCCCTGCTAGCAGTCTGCTCTCGGAATGGCTGCGACCTGGCCGAAGTGAGGGTGGGCCACCTGGGCACGGTGGCAGCCTGGTGTCCTTCCATCCGCAGGCAGCCAGAGGGCCGTCTTCCGGCAGGCCATGAGGCACTGGGAGAAGCACACCTGTGTCACTTTCCTGGAGCGCACCGACGAGGACAGCTACATCGTGTTCACCTACCGACCCTGCGGGTGAGCAGGGACCCGTGGGCACTGTCCCCTTGGCCCGTCCTCACTGTTTCTGCTGGGCCCTGGCCGGAGGCCATCTCCATCGGCAAGAACTGTGACAAGTTCGGCATCGTGGTCCACGAGCTGGGCCATGTCATTGGCTTCTGGCATGAGCACACGAGGCCCGACCGGGACCGCCACGTGTCCATCGTGCGCGAGAACATCCAGCCAGGTACGCGCCTGCGCGGTGGGCGGCTCCCGCCCCAGCCTGCGTCTCTGCGGCCCAGTGGGGCGTGCTCCACTGCCTGGAGCCATCGCCTGGGTTAACCTAGTCCCAGCGTCATCCACTCCCGCGCCCCGGGGCATGCCCTCAGCTGTGAAGCTCCTTGCTCCGGCTGGTCCCGCTGCTCGGTGGGACTGGGGGCTCTGGGCCCACCCTGCCTGCCGCCCCAGGCCTTGCTCTGGATCTTTAACCAGCTCTCGCCCCTCTGCCTGTTCTGCCCTCCATGGGCTCTCTCCCCTTCCCAGCTCCATCCACCACTCACTGCCTTCTCTGCTGTGGTTCTAGAAGGAGGTCCCTCCTGCCCACTCTCCCTCCAGCAAACCCTTGCTCAGCCCCTCCCCCAAGCTTCTCTAGGCAGCTCCCTGGCGCCCCCCCACCCTCACTTCTCTCACGCAGCCCCCCACACCCTGTGCTGGCCCTCGCAGGACAGGAGTATAACTTCCTGAAGATGGAGGTCCAGGAGGTGGAGTCGCTGGGGGAGACCTACGACTTTGACAGCATCATGCACTACGCCCGGAACACGTTTTCCAGGTGAGAGCTCGCAGCTGCCCTCTGCCAGCCACTCCCCACCCCTGCACCGGCCCGCCCTGCCAGGGCAGTGAGGGAGCCCAAGTGGTCTCAGTGCCTCCTGTCCCCATGGTGGGCTGTGACAGGGCCTCGATCCTTCATGCTGTGCAGGCCAAGGGCTCCTGGTACAAGCCACACCCAGCCTGGTGATTCCGATTGGCCCAGTCAGTCCAAAGGGCCCTGAGCTGTTCTCTCACTTGTCAGCCCAGGGGTCTCCGTTTTTTTTCTCTTTATAAAAAATTATTTTATTTATCTTGAGGCCGGCAGGTAGCATGATGATTAAGGGCGCTGGACTCCCACATGGCTGACCGTGTTTCAGGTCCAGGACGGGGGGCTTGCTTTCTCACTCCCCTCTTCTCTATCTCTGTCCTCCTCTGGTCAATTTGAGGTAAATAAATAAAAAATAAATAAAGTGCAATAATGAACCACAGTCAGCCACGTGGGAGTCTAGCGCCTTTAATCACCACGCCACCTGCTGGCTTTGGGATCTCCTTTTTTTATTTTTTAATGATTACTTATGTAATTTTATTTATTCATTCATTTATTTTAATTTGACCAGAGAGAGACAGAGAGAGGGAAAGTGAGAAAGCAAGCCACCAGGTCCAGGATTTGAACCATGGTCAGCCATATGGGACTATCCAGCGCCCCAACCACCCTGCCACCTGCTGGGACCTCCTTTTTTTAACTGGTCCTCAAAGGAGAACACCCTTTCTAATGGCCCTGCCTCTTTGAAACTGGCTCATTTGCAAACACTGGAGCGTGACTGCTGCCCTGGACTAGCTCTGTCACCAGCTCACAGGCCCGCCCTCCTTCATGTGGGCTCAGATTCCCAGAAGTCACGGCCAGAACCCCCAAAGGTAGGGCCGCCCTGCAGCCCCCGCCCCTCTCCTTTCCCCTCTCCGCAGTGTGGGAAATGGCCCTGCTCCTCCCCCTGCTCCTTCCTGGACGCCTTTCCCATGGCTGCCTGGTCCCGTCCACTCTGTTGTCCACACAGTGGCCCATCCCCCTTCTGAGTGCTCCTTCCAGACCCCTCTTCCTGCCACCAGACCTAAGGGAAGAGAGGCCGGGGAAGGGGAGTGAGGTCATCCCACCCACCCCCAAACCTCAAACCCCTCCTTACGTTTCCCACCACATCCCACCCACCCCCTGTCGTGTTCCACCCAGCAGGGGTGAGTCAAGGGCCCTGGGGAGGTGGAGGGCTGCTGCTCCCCTTTCTGCAGCTCCTCCCCGATGGAACCACCCAGGACTTGGCAGGGAGGCCCTGGGGGGACGGGCCACGGACACATTGGGAGCTGGCGGCTGTCTCGGGCTCTGGTCTGGCCACAGTGGACCCTGCCCTTTGGCCTTGTTCCAGGGCTGTCAGACGCGGCCCGTGCCAGCAGGGTGAAGAGCTGGCTCTGGGAAGCCCTGGGGAAGTCCAGCCCTGGCTGAAGCAGCGCTAGGGGTGGCAGGAGCAGGGAGGAGTTGGCAGGGGCCCGAGCTCTCCCAGGGTTGGGAGTTGAGGCTGGGCTGCATGGGGGCACCAGCGTGGAGGGTGCCTTGATTGCCCATAGTGCTCCTGGGGCTCCCTGGTTCTGGTGGTGCGGCTGCCACGGGGCAGGGTGACTGCTGGTCAGTGGGCAGCATAATGACAGGGCGAGATGTCTCCGCCCGTCCCTGACCTTGCCGAGGAATGTCTGCGCTGGGAGGTCATGACCCGGGGGTGTAGACAGGCACCCCCTGGCTCCTTTCCCACGGCCCACCGTTCTCGCTCCTCTTCCTCACTTTCCCTCTGCAGGGGCATCTTCCTGGATACCATCGTCCCCAAGTACGAGGTGAATGGGGTGAAGCCTCCCATTGGCCAGAGGACCCGGCTCAGCAAGGGCGACATTGCCCAAGCACGCAAGCTCTACAAGTGCCCAGGTCAGGCGGGGCGGGGTGGGGCGCCAGGGCCAGGGGAGTGGGACAGACTAGGGTCCAAGAGGGTTAAAGCATCCTGGAGAGTTGAGGGGGAGACGCAGAGGTCAAGGTAGGGCTGAAGGGCAGGGTCGGGCGGTGTGTGAAGCTGAGATCCCACCTGGGGTCTGGGAGAGAGGAAGAAACCAGAGCAGAGGGCTGCAGGGTGCGGCCAGGCCCACCAAAGGGGCTTGACCTTAGCTCTGGATCCCACGTTGCCTTGACAACAGGGCATGGTTACCCTGGCAGCGCTAGGCCAGGGAGGTAGGTTGGTGTGTGCTCGGATGTGAAGAGGCAGGGTGGACCTTAAAGGGCCAGGGCCAGCCCACATTCCCTGCTTGCCTGGGCCGTCCTTCTCCCCCACAGCAGACACTAGGGTTAGGAGCAGGTGGGCTGGGATGTGGGACCACTGGGCGTCTGTAACCAGCGTGCTGGTCATTTCCTTCCTGGACAGCCTGCGGAGAGACCCTGCAAGACAGCACGGGCAACTTCTCTTCCCCCGAGTACCCCAACGGCTACTCTGCCCACATGCACTGTGTCTGGCGCATCTCCGTCACCCCTGGGGAGAAGGTAACTGGGGGTCTCCAGCCGCTGGTGGACTGGGCCGAGCGTAGGGGGCCTTTCTTCTCCTGTAGTAAGATCGAAGTGGGTGCCCCTGACCTACCTGGGTACGGCCACTCTGTGCCTCCCGAGGCACTGGAGCACTGCAGGGAGGAGGGCCGGCGATGGCTCGCGGCCTTCCCGGCATGTCGGGCTGACCGTGGGGAGCGCTCACCACAGCACGGGCGACGTAGGTCTGTTTGCAAACCTAGTTCTTCCTGAATGCTCCTCTGAGCGCTTTACCTGTCGCTGTTTTTACTCCTGGTGGCTACTCTGTCTTCCATTTTTAAAATTAAAGAATTATTTGTATTTATTATTATTACTTTAATTTGACCAGAGAGAGACAGAGAGAAGGAAAGTGAGAAAGTAAGCCATTAAGTCTGGGACTCAAACCCGCAGTTGGCCGTGTGGGATTCCACCACCTTAAACACGCCACCTGCTGGCCCTTACTCTGTCTTCCTTTTATAACTGAGGCAGCTGAGGCACAGGCAGGTTCAGTAACTTGCCCAAGGTCACACAGCTAATGAAGAATGGGGTGGCATTTGGAGCCTTCCCAGGCTGGGTTTGATCCCAGCCTTGTCCGATGACCTGGGTGGCCTTCGTGGGCAGCTCAGCCTGGCCCTGGGCTCTCGCCGTCTCATCAGGGCCCAGCCAGGGGCTGGTGCTGGGACCGTTTAGGAACAGTGCCAGGACCTGCTGCGTGAGGCTGCTGCCCAGTGGGCATCCCCTTCCCAGAGAGACAGAGAGAAGGAAAGTGAGAAAGTAAGCCATTAAGTCTGGGACTCAAACCCGCAGTTGGCCGTGTGGGATTCCACCACCTTAAACACGCCACCTGCTGGCCCTTACTCTGTCTTCCTTTTATAACTGAGGCAGCTGAGGCACAGGCAGGTTCAGTAACTTGCCCAAGGTCACACAGCTAATGAAGAATGGGGTGGCATTTGGAGCCTTCCCAGGCTGGGTTTGATCCCAGCCTTGTCCGATGACCTGGGTGGCCTTCGTGGGCAGCTCAGCCTGGCCCTGGGCTCTCGCCGTCTCATCAGGGCCCAGCCAGGGGCTGGTGCTGGGACCGTTTAGGAACAGTGCCAGGACCTGCTGCGTGAGGCTGCTGCCCAGTGGGCATCCCCTTCCCACCTGTCATCTTACAACACTGGGATGCCCCACTTTGCTACAGGGACCTAATTTCCCAGCCCCTCCCACGGCTCTCCTCCCCTCCTCCCTCTGCCTCCACCTCCCCTCACCTGGGGGTGAGCTCCTGGCACACACACTTGCTCCCACTCTGGGCCTGGCTTCAGGCAAACCGTGCAAGTGGGACTGAGCTGTCTCCTCTGCTTGGTCTCTCCTCTGCTTGGTATAGCCTCCTCCAGGAAGCCTCCTGTGCCTGTTACCCAGCAGGCAAACAGGATTGATACAGAATTGAACCAGTAGCGTCCAGTCTCCTACGGCTGCTGAGCCTTGTTTGATGCCTGAGGTGACGGGGGGCTCACTACTTTCTGAACATTTCGTTCTGTTCTCTAGACAGCTCTTCACCTTACAAAGTCTTTCCTTGACATAGAAGAGAGACTGCTCTCCTGCAGTCTCCCTCCCCTGACCCAGGACTTTCCTCAGGAACAAGTCAGGAAAACTCCACTCCCTGAACACAGGAAAGCCACTCTCACGCCTCCTTAGACCCACTCCCAGGCTTTTCACAGGGAACCTGGCCCTTGCATGCCCCTCGAATTGTTGTTGCTTCTAAGAGTGAGCGGCAAGACTTTATTTCCCTCGATTGGAACATGGCCTTGAGCAGCTGTGAGCTGGATCTGACTTCGTCTTTGTTCACATAGTTCATCCCAGCGTCTCTCAATCACCTTGAATCCGAGCCTCGCCATCCAGTGGGTAGCCATCCCTCTTACTTCAGCCGTGCGTTTGTTCGAGACGTGTGTCTTCCAGTCTTTATCCCGATCTTTGGTTAAAATGCTGAACAGGACAGGAACTAAAGCATACCTGAGCACTCCCTCCCAGCTGCCTTCGAGCCTTTAACCTGCAGGCATCGGGCAGTTACTCCGCCAGCTGTGACACCACTTCACATCACTGCCACCAGCCCCGGGTCACCATCTGCTGACCGGGACGTGAGCTCCTTCTGAGACCACGCTTTGTCCTCTTCCCATCCCTGGCACAGGAAGTGGTTAGTAAACACTGAGTCCATGTGACGATCGCCTTACCAAGCCGCTGTCCCACCCGCTGATACAACCCCTTTTAAACAGAAAAAGGAATTTGTTTGCTGTGTAACCAAGGGTCCGTCTTCTAACTGGTCTCAGACCATCTGTTTAATGGGACTGACATCGGCTTAGTGGTTTCCAATTCCCACAATGCACCGCTAACCCCACTCCCAACACCACACACCCTGGAGGTTGGGAAAGCCTTGGTCTGAGTTCTCGAGATGACACATGCTGCTCACATCTCCAAGTCTCGCCTGTCCTCTGAGGTCATCGGCGAGCCTCGAGGCAGACACCCGTTCCCCCTGTATTCCCGAGCCTCCGTGTTCCTTCCAGATCACGTTCTCGTCTGTTCTGTAACCTGAAGGTCATCGTCACTGTCGACAGGTTTTTATGGAGCATTGAGTAATTCTATCCTCTCTCAGTGGACATCACACCACTTTCCTTCCAAAGCAAACTCATCCTTCCTTTGCACGTTCTGTTCCAGATGCAGCCTTAGCCAGCCCCACAGTGCAGTGGTTAAGTGCAGTGCATTGGGAGCTGGATCCCACACGGCCAACCACAGTTCAAATCCCAGCCCCGGCAGTTTGAGAAACATGGGGGCTATGTGTGCATGAGTGCCTCAGACCTTGATGGGATTGAGAAATGGAGGAAGGGGGCTACAGCAGGAGAATACCTCCTTGCTCTCTCCCTCTGCCTCTCTGGCACACACGTGTCCTCTGGCAGTTGGAAGAAACACTGCAGTTCTGGTCCAGCCATGGTAGTGCAGCTGGTTGATCCTGCCACGAGTCAGCCGAGGCAAGCTGAGGCCACACGGGCGTCCCGGGCTTGATTTCTGGCCCACCTGAAAGCCAGGCATGTGGCATAGTCTGCGGTCCCTGTTGCTCAGTACACTGAGGTAGGGGAGTGTGGGCCAAGGGAGCCCCGTCTGAAAGCACCTGCCGTGGGGGCACGTGCCTGTGGTCCCAGCTATGTGGGAGGGCAGGATCGTGGCCTAGCGAGACCCTGCCTAACACATTTTTTAAAATCGCAGTCCTGTCTGCTCGTTTGCTCAAACTGCACCCTGGCGCTCTTCATCCCTCTCCCAAAGGTTCCTAGTCCTCCAGCCTTTGAAAATCTCACCCACAGACTACGATAATAGTAATAATTACTAACAGCTATTGAGCATATGACTAAACAGGCCTATGTTAAATTCTTTACTTGCATTTTGTCTTTTAATTAGCACAAAATGCCAAGCCGGGTTTTGACATTATCCCCATCCGCATGCACGCAGACTTGAGCACCTTCAGCAGCTCGCCCGGGTTACCCTGTGAAGGCCGCGATGCGTGCTCCGGGCCCTCTAAGCCCAGGAGCCTCTTGCTGTTGCTTTTTGCTCATCAGCAGGCCTGCACGGCGGGCCCTGGCCAGGTGCGGGGCTGTGCATCACAGACAGCCCCCGGGTGTGGTCCCTCTCCTGTTCCGGAGCTTCCGCCAGTCGGCAGGGGCACGGCACCGTGGCTAGCACCAGCTCCTTCTCTGTTGTCCCTGGCTGGTCTGGGCTGGCCCTGCCCAGGACCCTCGGTGCTTTGGGGTTGCCGCCTCCATGACCTCCGCAATTCTCAGAAGACAATGTCCTTTTTCAGAGGCCTGGCTGTGGTTCCAAGGAGAGAAGTGATGTAGGAATAAACATTCCAGATGGAGGGGCTGGTCGGTGGTGCAGTGGTAAGACAGCACCCTGTGAGGCCAGCCCCCTAGGAAGGTTCCGGGTTCGTGTTGGGAGACGTCCCTGAGCCTGTTGGGCACGCGTGTGCTGTGATCAGGGCTGGCTAAAGCAGGGGGAGATTGTGGCTTGAAGACTCATGGAGTCTCACTCAGAAGAAATACATGAACCTAGAAAGAAAAATCCTGATCAGTCAGTGTGTGATTGTAGACATGCTTCACGGGAAAACAGCCGCAGCCCTGGTAGAATGGCAGAGTTGCAGGTGACCAAGATGGGGCCCTGGAGATGCAGATGCCTGCGGGCGGGGGAAGCCAGGGAGGCCGAGGTCACGCAGTCCGGCCGCTCTGGCTGTTTCGTGGTTACGTGCCAGTGTGGGGCTCCTGGCGTGCTGAGCTTGTTACTCCCGCCAGGATCTTATAGCCTGAGTACTCCGGCCCCCTGTGTAGACTGAGGCTGGGAGCATGTCGTAGGCCTGCCCAGGTCTGTGCAGGTCGTCATGGGCACCCACACTCACTTCCAGCTGTGTGGCTCCAAAGTCTATGGCCTTTCAACACAAAGCTTCAGGAAAGCCTCCCGCTTCCATGGGTGGACTTTGACACCTGTTCTGGCCGCAGAGAGGTGGTTGTTTTTCACTTGCTTCCGAGGGATGAGCTTCGTGACAAATGTGAATGGTAGGTCAGGCTGAGACAATTACGCATGGTGGGCGGATGGCAAACAGGAGGAAGAGCCACTTCAAAAGCCTCCTCTTAAGATCCTCCAAATCTTTCCTCTCTTAATCAGCAGTGGCCCCACAAGGGCTTAACGGTGGTTCTCGAGCAAGGAAGCAGAGCCCTCCCCAGGAGGCGTGTGCGCTGAGATTGTGGTCAACAGATCAAACGTCAGAGCAGCCAAAAAGATAAGCGCTTCCAATGCTTTCGGAGCTGGCGCATCCACCCTCATTCCAACATCCTGCCTTTCAAGTGCTGCCTGCCCTTCAAGGCCCACCCCAGGTTCTGCCTTCTCGGGCCTGCGTTCCCAGATCTCCACCTCCCATCCCAGCCAGTCAGGAGTGATCCCTCCCTCCTCTGCAAAGCCTGGGC